ACACAGCGAAGAAAAAGACGCCCTCACTGCCACGCTTCAGATGATATAATTTCAGGCATAGGCATAGGCAGTGTTTTCTCTTTCTGTTCATATTGAATCCTCCCCTAATCGTTCTGTTTTTGAAAATTGAGATGTAATTTTTACCAGGCAATTCACTCCTCTAAAGTGTACAATTCAGAGGGTTTTAGAATATTCAGTGAGGTAAGCAGCCATCCTCACTCCCCAGAACTCGGCCCCCCCTCAAAGGGAACCCCTGGCGCCTTTTAGCCAGAGCTGCCTTCCGGCTGTAATGAGAGGTCTCTGCCACTAGATGGAGACGTTCCTTCAGCGAATTTCTCTGCGAAGTTGGTCCAGCACTGTGCCGGGATGGGGGTGGGGACAGAGGCGCTCCGGCGCGGGGTACCAGGGCTCTGCCACGCCCTCTCGCCCTTCCCCAAAGGCAAACGGGGTTCTTTCAAGCGGTTTTCCCAGACTGAAACGCTGAGACTTTTTAGGTAGCGTAGGGACAGTCAATCTTAAAAAAAATCAGTCCTGAATATTCATTGGAAGGACTGATGCTGAAGCTGAAACTCCAATACTTCAGCCACCTGATGCGAAGAACAGACTCATTGGAAAAGACCCGGATGCTGGGAAAGATTGAACGCAGGAGGAGAAGGGGGCGACAGGGGTTGAGATGGTTGGATGGTATCACTGACTCAATGGGCATGAGTTTGAGTAAACTCGGGGAGTTGGTGATGGACAGGGAGGCCTGGCGTGCTGCAATCCAAGGGGTCGCAAAGAGTCGGACACGACTGAACGATTGAACTGAGCTGAGGGAAAGACATGTTTTAATTTACTCATTACATAGTTATTATATATTTGTCTGAATGTGTAATAGAAAAAACACAACAAATATATTAAGCCTATGATGTTATTCATTTTACTTAGGATAAGGACAAGTTTTTTTTTTTAAGGGTTACATTTAAAATTAATTTAAAGAAAATTATTAAGTAACTAAATAGCACAAGTGTTGCGTAAATATGGCAAAGCTGTGAGAGCCGTCAGAGTGCTGAGGCTTGGGAGGGTTCAGTAAGAACCCCTACCCACCGTGAGAGGGGAAGTTTCATTTCCAGAAACGAAAGAGCCTCTCACGTCTGCAGGGGCGTCCTCCCCATGCTGGTCACGGGGAGTAATCCCAGGTTATTTGCCTGGTCCTCCCAGGCCCGACAGCAGGAGGCCTTTGGTTTCCTCTGTGCTCTGGGATGGCCCTGGATGGGGAGAGCTGCCCTCAGTCATTTGGACAGCCAGTTGGAAGCCGACCCTTGTAGAATGAGAGGCCACTTGTGTGTGCTTGGGGTCCTGACTGTGGCCTGCACACGCTAGAACTGGGCAGGACAGCAGTTATCCAGGCTCAGCTGCAAACCAGGGTTTGGAAATACCCTGAGCAGTGGTATGGAGTAGGTGAGTGGCTCAGAGCTCTTCAGCGGCTCTCTGCCCAGGTTTCACCTCCCTGCAGTGAGCTGCCTGCCCCCAAGGTGTCTTCAAGGCGTGCTCACCCCCTTTCTGATTTCATTTCCGTGACATCCGTGAGAGGCAGGAGGTTGCTTCATCCTTGTTTCCTAGACAAGGAAACTGACATCCAGAGAAGCTAGCAACTTAACTGGTCCCTGGAGAAACAGCATTTGAACTTTGGTCTTCTGACTCCAGGTTTTCATTTACTGTATTATTCTTTCTTAGGTTTGTTTCCACCCTAGCACAACAATGCACTTACTACACAAGTGCCTACATCACTCGCCTGTCGTGGTAACTGCCAGCTTTTTTGTGGGGAAAACACTTGTAATGAAGAAGCATTTCTTCTCATCATAAAGTGTTGCAAGTTTGAAGAGGGGGATTCATGCAGTAATCGCCTTTGTGAGAATGAAATGTTGAACTGGGTGATCATATTCCATAAAGGGGTTATGCTCGTGCTATAGAAAAGTGTATGCCTACCATGCTGGAGAGGGTGTTATACATGCATAAAGAGCAAATGAATGAATTAATAAATTAGATAATAAACACAGTACCTGGTCTGAAGGAATTAACAAGCTAACAAAATCTATCATCGTTGCAAAATGCAGGGTTCTGCAGGGAAGCCAGGCAGCTGCCCATCCCCGGTGGGGTCCCCTCCTCCAGCTGCCATCAGACCTCGAGCCAGTCATCACAGGCACGTGGCAGTGAGGCTGCCTGGTTTGCATTCTTTCCTGTCACCACAGTGGGGCACAATTTGCCTTTAGAAGTACATGTGCAAGAGGAAATCTGTACTTCTGTAGTCAGTGTCCTCCACGTGATAATGGCAAAACCCCGTCTGCTCGGCAAGGGGAGGAAAGGCCGGGGCCGAGGAGAGAGCCGTGCTCTCGTCTGGCTGAAGAGCAAGTGAGAGGGCTGTGGGGAGGACCTGGAAGGCACGGAGCGCCAGGCGTGTGCAGGGCCCAGCATGGGCGGGAAGCAGAGCCTGTGCCAGCTGTGCAGATCTCAGGCACTGACTCCTGTGCCCGGCCCGGCCGCTGCCCTGCGCGGGGCGCCTGTCACCAGTTACGGAGAACACGCGAGTGCCCTGCTTGTAACACAGCAGGACAGGTGGGCAGGGGGTCTTCAGGTGAGTGTCTTGGTGGCCTCACGAGGGCTGCTGCATCAAACCATCAAAACCTGAAGGTGGTGGTTGGTACCAAGGGGCAGCAGGGCTGGCAGGCTTGGGGTGAGGATGTTAGAAGGTGCCTGGGGGTTGTGGCCACCTGGAGCCTTTGAAGGCTCTCTGCGTTACCCTCCACTCAATCTAAATGGGGGTCTGATAGTCTTCACCAGTCATTGAGATGAAAAACCTGGAACATAGGTCAGGCTGTACCTGAGACTCAAGAGTAGGGTCTGTTTGAGTTGGGGGGGGTGTCCGGGATGTGGGGGCTGCAGAAGAGGAGGGGACCACGCCCACAGGAGCGGGTGAGAAGCGCTTACCTGCTGGGACGGCCAGGGATGAGGCCTGGGTTGGGAGCTGACAAGGGCTCCAAAGTCCCCTTCTCCCCCTTCAGGTCTCTCTCTCATCACAGATTTTTATTAGCAGAAAACTTATTTGAAGATGACATTGGTCATCAATGTCAAAAACAGTCATTACAGATGTATCTGGGGGCACTAATAGTAAAGAACCAACCTGAAAATGTAGGCTGGAGAAGGCAATGGCACCGCACTCCAGTACTCTTGCCTGGAAAATCCCATGGACAGAGGAGCCTGGTGGGCTGCAGTCCATGGGGTCACTAGGAGTTGGACACGACTGAGTGACTTCACTTTCACTTTTCACTTTCATGCACTGGAGAAGGAAATGGCAACCCACTCCAGTGTTCTTGCCTGGAGAATCCCAGGGACAGGGGAGCCTGATGGGCTGCCGTCTATGGGGTCGCACAGAGTCGGACACCACTGAAGTGACTTAGCAGCAGCAGCAAATGTAGGAGACGAAAGAGATGTGGATTTGATCCCTGGGTCAGGAAGATCCCCGGAGGAGGGCATGGCAAACCACTCCAGTGCTCTTGCCTAGAGAATCCTGTGGACAGAAGAGCTTGGTGGGCTACAATCCATGGGGTCGAAAGAGTCAGACACAGCTGAGGGGACAGCACACTGTATTGAATGAGTTGTTTTACAAACCTGTGTCACAAGTAGCTTAGAGAGAGATGGAGTCACATGTTAAAATACAGCTGGGTGTCACTGTACTGTGATAGGGCTGCTCGGAAGGCTTGATCTTCAGGCAGCAAAGACGCATCTTTCCAGCTTCACAGTGAGGTTCCCGGACCAGCACTCGCAGCAGGTGTTTGAGGACCTGCCAGGACGCGGACTGCAGGGCCCTGGGGAGGAGCCAAGCGCCTGGCATGGCCGCCTCCCCTGGATGTGCACGGGGGCCGTGTCCTCGCCCTTTTCCCGCCCTTTCACTCCGAGAGTGTGGCTGGCCACATTCCATCCATCTCATGAAAGGAATTTGTGACATGTTTTAAGTGGTTGTCATCCTTCTTTTCCAAGTCCCATAAAACCTGCCCTCTCCTCCCACTCAGACTCCCAGTGGGAGCATCTCTACTGGCAGGAGCCCCTGCCGTCCGACGCCCCAGTCCTGGCCTATCTCGGGCTGGGGCCGGCCCCCCCTCAACGGAGGGCAGCCCAGTCTTGCAGGCACATGGTGCTGCAGTGTAGGGAGGCGTCCTGAGAGCCGTCCCGCTTCTCAAAACGGCTCTCAGCCCAAGTTACTGGTTGGAGGCTGGAAAGCCCAGTTAGAGCAAAGAGCCGGGGCGGTGGGGGTGGCACGGGGGTGGGGGATGCAGAGCCAGGCAACCCGCCAGCAGACACAGAACCAAAATAAATGCTCTTTTTTTTTTTTACAGAAACTTCTCAAGAAATGTTACTTCTCAAGAAATGTTTTCACCGAAATTTTCAAGCCTATAAAAACATTTTAGGTTGGAGTTTCTTATGTACAGAGTCCAAATGCTGGCAGTTTGCCTCGGTCTAGATGGCTGCCAGGGGAGATCAGAGCTGGACAGAACCTCCTCACTTCAGAGCAGAGACACTGGAAACCGATAGCCTGTGCACAAGTTTGGTGCCAACCCCAGGTGGATGCGCACTCCACCTTCTCTCTGACTCCGCCCAGAGGGAAGCAGAGCGGCCTGGCCACCAGCAGGAGGCTTGCAGAGGGGGCTGCAGAGCCTCGAAAGAAAGGCCTGGAGTCCACCAGAGGCAGAGACTGAAGAGGCACCAGCGGCTCAGACGCTGAGCTTTCCATGGAGCTCCTCTGCAGTCTCCGCTGTGATGCTGGTGTGGGTGGGAGCCTGGGGGCCCTACTGTCTTCTTGGGGGGTGGGAGGCGCTCTCCGAGGCCCTGTCTAGCCTTTGTCCGCATCACAGCGCCGGGGGTGCTTTCCTGCCAGAGGCCACGGGCAGCTCCAGGCCCGCCCTGTGTAGGTGCCGACTCACCTGTGTACACGGGTGTTGTCAGCAGCAGCTCCTCCGAGTGGCATGATCCTGCAGACGCAGCTTCACAGCTCAGGGGGCCAGAAGCTGGCCCCTCCCGAGAACAGGGTCTGCGGTTGTGCCTTCAGTGGCTGCGCTTTTACCCCCTGGGCTGCAACAGGAAGGTGGGCCTAGCCTGGTGCTAGGCGACCCCAGGACAGGTGTGGAGTCATATAAGCCAAGCAATGCCTGGTGGGAGTGCTGTGCCTTCCGGGGGCTCCACCCAGGGGGATGGAACCACAAAGGAGGGGCTGCGTCCCACCTCAAAGCATGACGGCTCCTGTCCCAGCACCGGCACCCTGACCCCTGGTCCAACACAGGCACCCTGACCCCTGTCCCAGCCCTGGCCTGTGATAGCTCATACACCTCCAGGAGCGTCCCCTTCCTGCTCTCCCGAGCCCCGTGTGGAGCTGCTCCTCCGGGAGGTAGTCCTGGCTGGGGCGGGAGCAGGGGCCTGTGGCCTACCAGGGCCCCTCGGGCCTTTGGGTCCTCAGAAATGCAAGCAAGGGGTGGACTTAAACGACCTTTCACCATGTGGCTTTTTTTGGGGAGGAGGCAGAATCTTTAAGAGGCTGAGTGAGGCTGGGAGATTGGGATTAACACATACACACTAGTAGGTATGAAAGAGGTGACTCGTGAGCACCAGGAAGCCTACTCAGAGCTTGTGGTGACCAAACGGGAAGGAAATCCATGGAAAGGGGGGATGTGCACAGAGAGCTGTCTCCCTTCATTAAACAGGGGAAGTCACACAGCATTCTAAAGCAATTTGAGGCCATTTTACTCTTGAAGATTGTTTCACCTGTATTAGATACTGAAACAGCACGGAAGTTACTTTGAAACAGCACGGAAGTTACTTTGAAACAGCACGGAAGTTGCTTTTCCTGAAGGTAAAATTTCGTTTCTAGATGGCCTGAGCCTTGTACCTGAGAGTTTTGCCCTAAATACAAGTCGCTCTGCATCTCCTGCTGCTGTGGTGTCCCGAGGAGGCTCCCCCGCCCAGCCCCCGGTGGTGCAGACCCACCACAGAGACAGGATGTGGCCCAGCCCCGCATTCATGTGTGTCCCACATTTGTGTCTTCCTTTAGGTTTTGGAATTTTTTCAGTGTCAGAATTCTCATGTAGTTTATTGACATACTTTTGTTCTTTTGCTTTGGATCGTTCATTGATCTGATGTTACCTAGAGGTTTACAATCCCTAAGTGTCCTACAAGCTCTGAGGACCCCATGGTGCTAATAAAAGTGTTTACAAATACCACTGTAAACAAGCATTGAGTGGAGTTGGCCTTTCCAACACCCTGTGGAAACCTGCTCTCACACTTCATCATAAGGAAAATGCTGTGAAGCCTGGCAGATGAGCGTGGCACACACTGCTCTTCGGACCCGGCTGTGCCACCCTTGGGAATAAGGGGTGTGAGGGGCTGTGGGCTGGGGTCCAGGGAGGTGACTCACCCCTGGCAGGGGCGAGTGCCTGGGCCTTGGGGCCCTCCGAGGTTCAGTCCTAGCACAAGACACTCTCCTCATCCTCTGTTCCGTTCCATCTTGAAGATTTTCAACCCCAAAGGGATTAAAAGCTTGTAACACCAAATACACACATAAAAAGACAAACACGATTGAAATTCAACATCAACAAAAATTAATTCAAGGCGCGATTCTACATCCCTGACCTCGGACACTGGTTTCAGGTCTGAGCATGGGTGCCAGGGCCAGAAGCAGAGCTGTCCCCTGGCAGCTCAGGAGGGTCCCAGGGTCCCAGATCGGAGCTCTCCCCTCTGAGTCCACACAGGGCCCACTACAGAGGGGGCCCTGACCTAACCTAACTTCCAGTTTTACCTGCCTTCTTCCTCTTCACCCCTGGGCCCCTGTCACTGAACTGTTGGCTTCGGGTTCGAGGAGGAGCTGGGTTTGCTGCCTGGTTCATGTAGGACTAAACATGAGTGGAGTTCTGTGCTGACCCTGGGACCCGGGGGGAGCAGCCCACCCCCTACTGAAGGGTTAGAGACAGCAGAGTTTCTGCCCCAGCCACTAAGGAGGGCTCTGCCACTCTCCCCTACCAGCCAGTGTCACCTAGGGGCCAGAGAGGGGTGGTGTCCAGGAGGGGAGACTGGCCTGAATTTCTCAGCAAGGTGGGCCCAGTGCGAGACCACCAAGGGCAGGACCCCCATCCCGGGGCCTTGAAGGGTCTGCCCCCAGCAGGGCACAGCCCTGGGGCCCATGGCATCTGGGTGAGCAATCCAGGCCCGCATGTGCGAGGCTCTGTCTGCAGCTGCGACCACACCAGAGGACACCATGGGGACCTCAGGTCCAGGACACAGGCCTGGAGCAAAGAAGATGTTTGTCAGATGCGAAGCGAGCCACGGAGGAAAGAAACCAGGAGACTGAAGTGCTGGGGTCAGGCATGCAGGTTTAAGCAGGACAACAGGGCAAAGGTAACTTGGAAAGTGGGGAAAGCATGTGGGTGTCCTGAGCAAGAGGGCCTTCCCAGGATGTCTAATGCCCTTGGAGCAGCTGGGGGAGCGGCGGGTGCAGGGGGGCCATGGGGAGGGGTGGGTGCAGGGGGTCTTGGGGAGGGGTGAGTCCAGGGCGTGTTGGGGTGGGCAGGGTGCAGGGCGTCTTGGGGAGGGGTGGGTGCAGGGGGGCCATGGGAGGGGTGGGTGCAGGGGGTCTTGGGGAGGGGTGGGTGCAGGGGGCCATGGGGAGGGGTGGGTGCAGGGGGTCTTGGGGTGGGCAGGGTGCAGGGCATCTTGGGGGGGGTGGGTGCAGAGGGGCCATGGGGAAGGGTGGGTGCAGGGGGTCTTGGGGAGGGGTGGGTGCAGGGGGTCTTGGGGAGGGGTGGATGCAGGGGGTCTTGGGGAGGGGTGAGTCCAGGGCGTGTTGGGGTGGGCAGGGTGCAGGGCGTCTTGGGGAGGGGTGGGTGCAGGGGGGCCATGGGAGGGGTGGGTGCAGGGGGTCTTGGGGAGGGGTGGGTGCAGGGGGCCATGGGGAGGGGTGGGTGCAGGGGGTCTTGGGGAGGGGTGGGTGCAGGGGGTCTTGGGGTGGGCAGGGTGCAGGGCATCTTGGGGGGGGTGGGTGCAGGGAGGCCATGGGGAGGGGTGGGTGCAGGGGGCCATTGGGAGGGTGGGTCAGAAGAGGGCCATGGGGAGGAGTGGGTACAAGGTGCGGGCCCCGTAAGGATGATCCACGGGTGGGAGGCACTCGAGGGCTGTAGGCGGCGATGCTGCAAGCAGGCCTGGGAGGCACTCAGAGTCCCTGGAAACTGGAGGAGGCTGACCCTCCTCCTCCGGCAGAGGCGTGCCTCGCCTGCCCCTGCTGTGGTCAAGGCCCTTGTATGGCCCAGGTCAAGGGTCAGTGTGCTGGCCGTCCTAGGGTCACCTCTTGTGTCCTGGCACCTTGGGCAGGGTCAAAAGCCAACTCAGTGGTCTGGGGGCTGTTTAGGCCCCTCGGGGGTCAGAGTGCCTGAGATGCTCACGGGCCCCTCGCAATGAGCGGGTGCAGCCCTGCAGTCGGATCCTAAGCAGGGTTGCTCCTCTGGCCCCATGCACCACAAGCCCTGAAACATCTTTGCCCTCTGGTCAATAATTCTGCATCCAAGACTGACTCCCGGGAAAGGTCAGCCACCCTCATGCTGACCCCTGTGAGGTGTTCTCTGCAGTGGTGTCCATAACCTCATAAAAACCACAGTTTCAGAGGATGGGCCTGCTGTGGGAAAGGGTGCTGCTGCAAGGGGGTCCGGGGGCCAGCACCTCGGACCCGCAAAGGATGCCCCCGTTTGGGGGGCTGAATTTTGGCCTAGGCTACACTGAGCTGTTGTCCTGGCCTCCACACGCACACACATATGCCTGCCTGCATGCATGCACATGCACACACACAATCACGCATATAAACACACACATGTACACACACACCTGCGCACACATATATACACACATGTACATGCACACACACATACACACACATGCGCGCACATACACACATGCACAATTGAGAGGAATCATGCAGGAGCATTAACCCCGGTCCTCTCCGAAGTGAGGTTCTTGATGATCCCCAGTTCCTTCCATTTTTCTGTACTTTCCTGTGTTCCTATAATGAGTTTGCCTTCTTTTTTCTGAGAAAAAAACCCCAGTATTTTAACAAAGACTTCAGTGAGCACTTGAGTTGGACATTGAGAGGTCTCCTGACCTCACGTCTGGGCACTCAGCCCCGGGGACTTCTCGCCAGTGGCTTCTGGTTCAGCTGAGCTTTTGGGGTCAGCGCTCGGGTTGGAGTGATCAGTGGGTCACCACGAAGGTTTCCCGAGGCACAGGGGCCTGGGCCCACCCCCAGCACCCCACCGCCTCTCCGTCACCCAAGTCTCCAGCTAGCACCAGGGGCCCCTCCGGCCCGGGAAACCACTGAGCCACCAGAAGGGAAGGCTCTGGAGGCTGTGGTTTGTTACTGATGTGACCTCGTTCTCAAGCTGGAACGGTCTGTAGTCCTCAGCTTTTGTTTCTTAATTTTGTGTTCAATGTTTCAGGACATGGACATTCAGAAAAGCTAGTTCTTTTTCTCCCTAAATGACTGTAACTCAGTATTCTCTTGCATGAAAAGTCAACAACAAAGGGTTCCACCAAGGAAGCTGGGACAGCTGAGCCCGGATGTGGGGGGCGGCAGCAGGAGGCGTGCCCGTGGTCCTGGCCCAGCTGGTCTCGTGATCACGCGGCCCCGCGGCCCTCCATTGGTCTGGAGTCACCAGCTGTGCTGGTGGGTGTGTGTGCGGTTCTCATCTCTCACAGATAGGATGGCCCTGGGACAAGGCCCGAGGGTCCCCCACCACTCTGGCCAGGTGGGCCACGACCTCAGGCCTCATCCGGTTGAGCCTCCTGCCCAGCCCCTGGCTTGCATCCTTCCAGGTGAGGCCAGGCAGAGACCTCGTCGTCGTCAGGTCACCAGGGGTCCCTGTGTTCCCAGTCTTCCTTTCCGAGGCATGGCTTCCAGGCTGAGATCACAGGCCCCCCGATGGGTAGCAACAGGCTGCCAAGGCTCCAGCAGATGCCTGGTGAAGTCCCTGAAGATGGGGACATCCAGGTCGATAAGACCATCCCCTGCTGCTCTCAGGCTGAGGAAGATGGCTGGGGAGGATGTGAGCTGGGCGTGGAGGCTGCAGCCTCGCCTTCCCCTCCTTGGCCTGCGGTCACCGCTGGTGGACTCTGGGTCCTTCTCCTTCCTCGGCTCTCCTCCGGTCAGTCAGGCGTTTCCAGGAATAGTGCACCTGCAGGGCCGCATTCCTGGGACGCACACACAGGGCCAACGTGCTGAGGGCAGTGAGCAGGAGGAGCTGGCCCTCCACCTGAGGCCCCTCCAGGTCCTACCCTACTTGGCGGTCCCACCTCGGTTCAGCCCCAAGGTGACGGCCGTGCAGGGGAGACCCCCGAGCGCCGCTGGTGTCCACAGTGGTCCAGGCCCGGCCTCAGACTATGGCCCGGACTAGTCAGCTTTCACTCTAGCTGTCTGTGTGTCAGCATGATGTGACACACACAGGCACATGCACACACATGTGTAGCAGCTGTGTGACTCCCGGCCATGTGTTGGGAGCCCGTGTAGTCACAAGACTGGGCTCACAAGCCACACTCCCCTCTTGTCAGGCACTTTTTATTCCATCAGCTTAGCTGCCTGTCCTCACAAGGACAAGGGATCAGGGGTCCCGTGGCTCACTTAGGGGCTGCCGTGGGACCTGGGCTGGCCTGGACAGGTCTCGGCATGGCACATGTGGAGCGTGCTGGCCGTGCAAAGATGTCAACACCCCTCTGCTGCGCATCTCCTGCGGGACCCGAGCTGCTCTGCCCACAGACCCAGCCGACGGTGGGCAGCCTGCGTGCCCTAGACATCTGCACAGCCTACGGTCCCCAGGTTCCCGGGAGAGAGAGCTCAGAGACGCAGCAGATGGATGGTGTTTTCCTGGACCAAGACCTGGGAGGCGATTAGACTTGCAGTGACGGATGAACTTTCCACATCCTCACCAGCATCTTGTTGTCCCTGGGAGACACACAGAAAGACAATTTGATATTAATTATTAATATATTAATTTGCGGCGAAGGCTCCCTGATGATAACAGTAATGATAACAAAGGGTGCCTTTATTGAGTTATGTGGTGGCACCACCGTTCCAGCTCCGTGAAGTTCAAGGGAAGACTCCGTCCGAGGCGACGCCCCCAGGTCAGTGTTTGCCTAGTCTTATTAAGTGTGTTCTGGAGCAGCAGCCCCTGAACATGCCCCCCGCCCACCCCCTCTCTGGGGCACTTGCTCCCTGATCTCTGAGCTGAATTTCAGTGGTTCCACAGCCTCTCAGCCACTGGCTACCATCACTGTCTCTTAGGTACTAATTGTTGGCCCCTCTGTTCAGCCCTGGGCCCTCACCGTGTGGCATGTTCCCTACTGGTCATGTGAATAGCATCACGAGACCTCAGCCTGAGCAAACTGACCGCTTGCCCTCAGTGTCCACCCCTTGAGAATTGACACTTATTACTGGACCCCCTGAGGTGCTGCATTGGGTGCTGCATTGACTCCCAGCCCCTGTGGTTGCTCTGGGGCCCGAGACTCCCCCTGCATCCTCCTGGTCCCTGGGTCCGTTCCTTCTGGCTGAGTGCAGAGTCCATGGGGGATCGGCAGGGATGGTCTGCGCAGGACCCTCAAGGTCTCTGCCTGGAGACTCACGCCGTCAGGTCTGGGAAGCTTTCTCCACTACTGGCTGATTACGTTCCATCTGAACTGCTCGTCGTTCCGGGCTCCGGGTGGCCAGTGTCGGCCCTCCGGACGTGCGCTGTGGCTTTCTGATCCTCTGTTTCCCAGTTTTGACCTTGTCATCTTTCAGCTGTAATTTCTGGTAGACTTTCTTGACATTTGTCACCATATTTCTCATTTCTAGGTTTCCTTGTGTTTGCTGTGTGTTTTCTGTTGTAAATACTATTTTGGTTACATTTCCCGCCTTTTGAAGAAATGATGTTAAGCTTTCCTTTCTGCATGGTGTCTATTTATTTGCACAAGCTGTTACTGGAAGTTTGTTTCTCACAACATAGCGTTTGCTCTGATGTTTGTCTGATTCTGTTTGAAGAGGAGGAATCCAGAGGCATGACGGGGGGTGTGAACTCCCCTGTTGGGGAAAGTCAGGGTGGCTGGGCCTTGAGACACGGGTCCCTCATGGGTCTTGGTTTTGTGTCCCAGTTGTTAAGCTGAGATTTCCAGACTGACTGCCAAGTGCTCCTGAGTAGAAGTGCCGGGATAAGGTGGGGAATCAGGGTCACGGAGGACCAAGTGGCTCCTCTGGCTCCACCTCTCTGACCTTTGTCCAGAGTGCAGGCTGGAGCCCCGGGTAGGCGGACACAAGATCCACAGGACAGCACCGCCCAGTGGGAAGTGATGGGGCAGTTACCAGGGCCCTCACCACACTCAGGGGCCCCGACAGGAAAGAATGTACCCTTTACCTCACGTTTGTCTGAAGCCCAGTGATACAGTGAGGATGAGGCCAGGACTATGTGGACAGGCTCTGCTGGAACCCCCAAGGCCTGTCTGTCCAGGGAGCCGTTCTCAAGGCCCAGGGCCATCAGAGTGTCCCCTGCGAGCACTGTCCCAGCACAGAGGCCCCGGCTGCCCGCCTGCTTTCTCCCGTCTGGACTCCTGCTGGGCCGGACTCACCAGTTTCCCCAGAGGGTGTTCTGCTGGCTCAGTCTCTCCTCTCACTGCAAGGTTTTCATCTTCTGAGGTCCAAGTCACCTGACCTCCCCCGAGCCCCAGCCTGGCTCTGCATCCCTGGGAGCTGATTTCAAGCAGAAGTTGTTGCTGTTCAGTCGCTCAGTTGTGTCCAACTCTTTGCCACCCCGTGGACTGCAGCACGCCAGGCCTCCCTGTCCTTCACCATCTTCTGGAGTTTACTCAAACTCACGTCCATTGAGCCGGTGATGCCATCCAAACTTCTCATCCTCTGTCACCCCCTTCTCCTGCTTTCAATCTTTCCCACTATCAGGGTCTTTTCCAATGAGTTGGTTCTTCTCATCTGGTGGTCAAAGTATTGGAACTTCAGCTTTAGCATCAGTACTTCCAGTGAGTATTCAGGGTTGATTTCTTTTAGGATGGACTGGTTTGATTTCCTTGCTGTCCAAGGGACTCTCAAGAGTCTTCTCTAGTACCACACTTTGAAAGCATCAATTCTTCATTACTCAGCCTTCTTTATAAGAGAGGAAGTTAAATCTCCAGTTTAGAATTCCAGTGGATGCCTGACACCTGCTTATTTGGGTGTTAGAAACAGCAGCTTCACTGACTGGTCACTGCACTGGCTCCTCACAAATCGGCTGTCACCCCAAGAGGTGGAGCTGCTCTGCATGGCCAGATGGCCAGTGCCGGACCCAACAAGCCTGTCAAGCTGGCTTCACGTCAGACCAGCCCGGGGACATCCACGCTGCCAGCTGTCTGTTAGGGGCCTTTAAACACAGGCTTCTCTCAAATGCAGATCTCGAAAGTGGGTGGAAAACTACAGTGATTTCCTGATGCCTGTGGCCCTAGGCCACAGGGCAGTTATACTTAGCTGGGGGCTGACAGCTCCCTCCCCGGGGGTTGTGTGAGAGCTAATAGGGACCAGCTGCCTCAGCAGAGCCCCTGGCGGACTGGTGTGCCTCAGAGGCCATGTCATGAGATGAAAGAGCTCCGAGAACTCTCTGGAGTCTGTCCCCTGGCCTCTGTGACAGGGAGCTCTGTCCACCTGAAGAGGCCTTTCAGAAGGTGAATGGGACCAGATTTTAAAGATGCCCCCTTGTTGACTGATTTAAATCCTGCCTAATCTCAGAGAGGGCCGAAGGTAGATCTTCCGTCCAGGCCTGGTCTGGGCCTTCACTCATTCATGGGCTTCGTGCGGGCTCAGTCGTGTCTGACTCTGTGCAACCCCATGGACTGTAGCCTGCCAGGCTCCTCTGTCCATGGGATCTCCAGGCAAGAATACTGGAGTGGGCTGCCATGCCCTCCTCCAGGGGATCTTCCTGACCCAGGGATCGAACCTACATCTCTTGTATCTCCTGCACTGACAGGTGCATTCTTTACCACTAGCACCACCTGGGAAGCCCCCTTCATGGGCTGCATCTATAAAAATCTCCAAATGTGTTGGCAGAACTGAGCATGCCTATAAACATGGGTTTTTTTCTTGATCTTGCTTTGCCTCTCTTGTACTTTTCCAAGAGGAAAAACGAACGTTCTCAAGTTCCAGCACAGAGGGATGGGCTGAGTCAGGGTTTAATCACCGTCTCCCCAGGGTGCATGTGCAGATTCCTCGTGGGGGCCCGGCTGTGAGTCAAGGGCAGCAGGGCCTCCACAGGGCGTCTGCTCCCCAGACCCCGGCCCCATGCCCCCCACCTGCCAGGGTTTCCACAGGAATGCGGAAGGGGGACTTCCGGTTTTTCTCTGAAAGGGGAAGCTTGGATCAATCATGAGTATTTTTGGTTGGTTTATTGTTTGTTCTTTCCCCAAAGCAGCTCTCTGCTGATGAGACACATTAGCAGAGTGGATACTCACCCTGGAAAATCCCCTGGGACCCCAGGCCTCCTGGAGTTCCACATTTTAATTAAAAGCTCCTTCATAAGTGTGCGGATTCAACATTTACCAGACATGCCATTGGCCTCTGGCAGCTGTTTGCTCCCCAAAGCATGATGTTGTTGCTTTTAATATCCTAAATATTCTCTGTAATACTAAGACTGAGGTTTTGGATAGGAATCTCATAAAACGGGGTTTCCTGTGGTAGATCTGTTGTCCTGAAGTCTGTAATCTCTACTGTGGAAAAGCAAGGTGGCGCTGCCACGGCCGCCCCATGAAAGCTGTCCACCCGTGATGATGACACCAAACATTTGCTTCTTGAAAGCCTCTGGATTCTACCTCATTCTGAGGATGGTTCCACTTGCCTTCATGAGGGGGCTTCTGACAGCACCTGGCCTTGAGAATGCAGGTCTCTCGGTAGTGGATAGATCTAGTAGGCACTCTCCTGGAAGCGGTTCCATGTGGAGCCTCACTGATGGAAGGGGAGCTTGTGCACTGGGCTGGCTCCCTGCCCAGGGGCTGGGCCAGGCCAGGCCAACCTATCCCGTGGGCACAGAGTCTGGACCTATTCTTCATCTCCTACTGTGGAAAGTGATGGTGCTGGACTCACTGCTCCCTCAGGGCCCTTCACACCCAGTTCTCGTTCCCAGCCCCAGGCAGGGGTCTGCCCTCAGAGCCAACAGGCTGACAGGACACAGGCCAGGAACAGGACACCTTGTTCCTTTGCACACAGGTGAATCTGGAAAAGTCCAGAAACCAGCGTCCGCCCACCCCCAGGGCCAGGTTCATCCGCACATGGACATGGTGGGGGGACTTGGCGCTGCCTGAAGGTCACTGAGAAGCCCCACAAGGAGAGACAGGGTTCCTGGACCAACACCCCCCTGTCAGCCCCGCCTCCCCTCCCCTCCCAGCTGCCAAAAGACAAAAATCATAAAATCAAGCATATCTGTCATTGTAATGACAATTGTGGTTATCAACTTTTGCTTAAAATAAATAAGAATGTTCCTGAATTTACACAGTAACAGTGTCTTTTAAAACCAGTTCAGAAGTAGAAGGTTCCTAGATTGTCTTGTTTAGCTACAGTCTAACTACACCAGAGACTCTGGGAGGAAGGGTGTATGTGTTAGGAAAACAATGAAATTCCCTAATTTCTATGTTCCGTTCACCGAGATTTTTGAATATGAGACTTCCTTAAAATGAAGTCTCATCAGGCAACAAAACCCAAATTTAACTGGTGTCACCAGGTGGGCATCTGTCTTCTGGTTATGAAAGCAGTCCTTCTGGTTACGAGAGTGTTTAAGACCAGTAGCGGGGCTCCTGTCAGCATCTGTCCTGTGTAAGTACTGATAATGGTGCAGGTTTGGGATTCCCATCTACTCGTCAACTTAAAATTTTTTTCCAGGTTATGGAAAGCACTCTGCTGCACCGCCAGAGGTTCCAGACAAGTCCCGTCAGCTGCAGTGTCATCAGAAAGTCGCTGGCAGCCAGAGCGGAGAGGGCCGCGCTCGTATTGATCCACATAAGATTTTCCACATCTTGTGGGTCCTCCTCCAATGCCGGCGATGCCATGGCCAACTCCCGTCACGGAGGTAATGGTGGACAAGGCTCTCATGGGCTTGTCCCCTGGGCCCCCCTCGCTGACTCCAGGCCCCCTTCTAAGGAGCATGCTTGATCCTGTGGGGTGACAGTCTGGCTGGAGGCCAGACACTGGGCCGCACAGGCTCCGGGTCCCCGAGACGGGCCTCTCCACAGCCTCGAACCCTGATCCTCACACCCTGGTCCCCGAGGTGCCGGCACGTAATGTCCCCGCTGACACTTGGCCCCAAAGGGAGGGCCTGGGTGGTGAGCAGGCTCGCCTTTGTTGACAGAGGGAGCCAACAATAGATTATTTACTTTGTCCCATTTGGGAAATATGAATAACTCCTCCAACCACACCCCACAGCCTCTCCTCCATCAAAGCTGAGCGCAAACGCCCCGGCCGGCCTTTCCCCTCGCGTCTGAGATCCTGGTTGGGACCTTGGTCCCACTGCTCTGTGGGTGTGGCTTCCTCACCTGCTCACGCACTTGAAGTGCCTGCTCAGGAAGGCCGGCGACCCCTGGAGTTGGTACGAGCCGTGCCGCTCTGTGCCGCCAGACACCTGACTGCGGCCGCCCCCTCTGTTCTGCTGGCGGTGGTCTAATAAACTCAGAGTGGAACAGAGGACAGGCCAGGGCCCGGGGTCAGGGGTCAGGGGTCAGGGGTCACAGGGCCTGTCCTGGTAGCAACCCTGATGGTCATTTGAGCAAGTGGCTTAGCATCCCTGGACCCTCGTTCCTTGTTCATGAAACACGACACCTCAGGTCAGTGCGGGGGAGCCCCCAAACCCCGTGATATATAGAAACCCTCGGCTCTCTCAGGGTTGACCCCTTTTCTGTCCCTGGACCAGACCCCGCGCCCCCACTTTTCTGGGACAGCAGGCGCTGAGAAGGCACTTATTCTAGACAGAGTCTGCCTGTGACTTTAGCACATTTTGGGAGAAAAACCTTCATGTCATTTGAAATATACTGGAGACTATTTAGGGCAGACTCAGGCCACCTGATGTGAAAAGCCAACTCTTTGGAAAAGACCCTGATGCTGGGAAAGACTGAAAGCAGGAAGAGAAGGGGACAACAGAGGATGAGAAGGTTGGATGGCATCACTAACTCGATGGACATGAGTTTGAGCAAGCCCTGGGAGATAGTGAAGGACAGGGAAGCCTGGTGTGCTGCAGTCCATGGGCTCACAAAGAGTTGGACGTGACTGAGCAACTGAATACTGACAGGCGTCCTAGAACCCAGGCTGCCATAGCCTGCAGCCAGCTCTCTGAACCTCTGTCTGAGCTGCAGAGTTGGTGAGGATGTGGGAGGTGTGCCCAGTGGCCCGGGAGCTCCTCTCAGGGTAATGGATGCTGGTTTCCTTTGAAACAAATAAACCCCCTGCAGATGGGCCCTCGGAGCTCATGTAAGTTCATTAACACACTCTATCTCTCTTATTATTCGTAGATACAAGGCTAATTTGGACAGATGCATTCTTCTTTTAAAGTTGCGTGGTTAAAAGGATTTGGGAGCTGAGCTTAATTAAGAGAGAGCAGCTCTTAGCGTGCGACGGCTGCAGCCAGAAGGGAAAGATTAGATTATAGTGTCCGCTCGCTCCCGCCCACAGCTGCTCCTGGACCCCTGGAGGCTGAGCATCGGCCCGAGTGACCCCCCTCTGGGCTCCGTGGGCCCGGGGGCCTGAGGCCAGCGTCCACCAGGCACCACCGGTAGGCCCCTCCCTTTGCCTGAGCCCACCTCACTGGTGACTCCTGGAGGGCCCCTGGGTCCTGGGTCTCCCGGCTGGGAAGGCTGGGTGGGGGGGCGGGCAGGGATGGGGGAGGCTTGCTTGCCTTCCCTGGGTCAGCCCTGGGGCCTGCTTATCTGAGCAGGAACTCCCTTGTAGGCGGGCATGCGGGGTGTCCCTGGGCTGAGGCCCTAGAGTGAGCAGGCCCCCACCCTCCACCCTGGACCTGCTGGGGCCTGGAGCGGCTCTCCCATCAGGGCTTCTGGGGAGAGGCCCTGAGGGAGCAGGCAGAGCCCGGGGAGGCCCTGTCCTCTGACATCTGGGTCCCGGTGGGGCCCCCGTCCCTCAGGGTGTGTTCAGTGGGTGGCCTCATCACAGGTTGCAGCTCCTGTCCCCATGGGAAGTGAAGGCACATCTCCCCATGGTCACCTACGTCCCTAGGTCACCTAGGACAGGCTCCCCACTCCGCAGGCTCTGAGTCCTGGGGGTCCTGGCGAGGGTGCCTGGGGCGGAGCACGAGGTGACCAGTGACCCCACTTCAGTGACTAGGACACCTAAGGAGAACTTGTTTTTCTGTATTTTATGGTAGAAAAAAATAAATTACCTTTATGTTTCTAATGAAGACTACATGACTTTCTAAAAAACGTATTACTAAGCCAAAAACTAAATTTAGGGAGAGAACAGACACATCTCCTGTGCAGAAGAATTCCAAAGAATTTCTGTGGATTCTCCCCACCCCATCTCAGGAGAGAGAGTGTTCCTCCCACCTGGTCACGGCTCCCGGAGACACCTGACAAACACCACAGTCAGGTGACCCAGGGAGCTTCACCTTTGATACAGTCTGACCAGAACTTGTCCCCAAACCCATCAGCCCAGCGTCATCACAAGGAAAACAACAGCCAGGTCCCAAGAGAGGGACATTGTACCAGACAGCTGGCCAACTCTCCCTGAGGCCAACGGGTCAATTGAAAATGGGACGTCTCAGAAATTGTCTTGGCCCACATGAGCCGAGGACATGTGAGGACTCAGCGTCCTGCAGTGAGCTGGTCAGGACCCTGGGACCGAGCGAGGACATGAGGGGTCACTCCGTGACCTGAGTTAGGGGAAGGGTGGGGGTTTCTCACCATTCAGGGACCACCTTGGATTCCCTGAAGCACCTGGAGTGGCTGGGACCTTTTAGGGCTGGGCTGCCCACGCTCTTGGGGTCCTGGCTTCTGTACAGACCCAGGGCCAGGCTGGGATATAGACAGTACAGGCTGCTGCAGACCAAGGACCAGAAGGCCTTCCCCAGAGTGTGTTGGACCCCAGGCCTCACAGAGGAAGAGGGCTGTCCCACAGATGAGATTTAATTTGCTGTCATCTGATGGGGCAGCTCCTGGCCCAAAAGCCCACCTGTCACAGAGGCCCAGGGACCTTGCCCAGAAGTCAGCGGCCGTGACTGATCCAGGTGGGACAAGCGTCCAGAGATGAGTGTGGCCTGTTGAGTCTTTATTCACGTTCTGTGTGTAACAAAACTGCTTCATTGCAGAGATGTTGATGGGTTTGACCACAGGACTTCCCACCCCCGAGGATGTTGGACAATGCACCCCTCGTGTGTGTCTTCCTGAGCTTTGTGGGCATCCAGCTGGGGTTTCACTTGCAGTTGGGGGTCATCCAGGTGCTGAGGAGACAAGCTCCTGTCCGCTGGGACTCAGGGCTAAGGCTTCTTAAGGAAGACAGGCCTGGATGGGCGGACATCCCTGGGAGCGTGGACCTTCCTGACACAGGAATGGATCTGGGCAGGCAGTGTGGGCCATGGGTGTGTGCTACAGGGCCCGCCTCGAGGGAAGCTGTTTGATAATATGACAATTTGCTCCTGTGGGTTAGTTATGGCTTTATTCACACAAAGGTTTTCAATTCACACCATAAATCATCCACCGACATGCCACCTCCTGCATCCCATTTTGTTTACCTAAAGCCATTTCACAGAACCGACTTGGAGGTGAGGAATGTGTGCATGTTGCTGGGTGTTTAGAGGGAGATTAATAGATTATTAGCAACTCCTGTAATGAAAACATTACGCAGGCCTTGCAGTTGGCCATGTCCTGCTCATTTGCTGCCTGCTAATTGCTGTGGTACACAGGGTCTGTTGTGAGGTGAGGTGCCATCCATAACCCTGGCCACACTGATTAACGTGTAATTGCTTTAATGAAATTCTTATGGAATAAGGCACAGTTCAAACAAAACATTGGCTTTACAGGGGTTGATTTTCCTGGCCAATTATAGACATGACTATGGAATCTCTAGGTGTTCCTTCTGAATTCACGGAGGGAACATTCCAGGAACTGTGCTGGGCTCACTCTGCTGGTTTGAACCCTCCAGTCTGACCATAGAATCTGCTCAATGGTTAAAACAAAAACAAAAACAAAAACAAATCCACAAAACTATGCAAATCCTACCCACTCTCTGGCATCCTTGGTAGGCAGGGGCGCTCCTGGGGGTCAGGGTGGAGAAGGGAGGCCTCTGAACCACGAGTTCCCAGGGCCATCTGCATCCTGACCCCTGGCCTAAAGAGGCCGGACGCTCTCCTCCCCACTTGCAGCTGTGGGTGTTGTGGCCGCTGGGGCCAGAGAGCAGCCACCTCTCTCACCAGCGTGGCTTTTAGAGCAAAGAAACGTGGACAAGACAGCTGGGTCTGGGTTACAGCACAGACCTTTCACATCTGAAAAGCCCTCTTCTCTTCTCAGCTTCAAGCAGGCACTGGGCTCCTCTGGGACTCAGTCTCCCCATCTGTAAAAAGGGGCCACAACATGCTGTCTTGTGTGACTGTTGGCCTTGGCTGCTGCCGGCCTGGGCAGTTGATTACCTTTGCCGGAGTCCCAGTTCTGAAAACCTGACCCTAATGGTCGGCAGAGGAGTGGACTGCCCTCCTCTGGGGATCCCTGCCCTGCTCCTGCTGGTGGGTAGGGACCACGTGTTCCCTGGCCACCCCCACGCTTGTAGCTCAATTCACGACCCTCCATCTGTCCCTGGGCAGCTGGAAGCCTGTGGACAGGGCCCACCTGGGTGGCCCTGGCTCTGCAAGAGGTAATGGTGGCATCCGAGGCAGGTTCTGGGGCTGGAGCAATGGCCGTGAGTGTCCACCCCGTGAGTTACCTGATGTTCCATAGGAAGAATGTCAAGTTCACGGGTGGCCATGCGGTTACTAGTGTTTAGTCCATCACGCTGTGGACATGTTGTCCATACAAGTTTTTCCATCTTAGGAAGCCAGGCCTCGCTGGTCCTCACTGGACCCTGGATGCTGGCCTGAGG